GAGAGATTTAAAATTCACTCTCAGGAAGTCTCCAAAACTCTAAAATGTGCAAGCAAGGGAAATGTAATAACTTAATCTGACTGCCTAGACAAGTCACAGTTAAGTTATATGTTCTGAATTTAAACTTATACTTAAGAATTAGTAATACCTTTTTCATTTAAATTAAAAAAAAATCAAGAAAAACCTGCTATTGTGCAAAGCTTATAAGTTGAAAAACTATCTCTAATGCAACTTATTTTTTTGTAATACCATATGGGCTTTGTATAGAGTTATAAATCTTTCAACACAGTTGATTTCACAATAGCAAAAGGACAACTTTAAAAGTGATATATAATATGTTCTTATCTTTACAAGAAAAAGAAGAATGATTGTGTGATTAATAATGCCAAGAATCAGGTCTGGCTACAGTTGGACAATTCAAGTCAGTGTTACTTTCCGACCTTGGAAAAGGTGTTTATTGATGAAGGTTTTCTCTCTATCAAAAAAACAATTACAGTCCATAGGTTACATTCAGATACATTTGTATCAGCCTCAGTTAAATCCTTGGACAAATGCCATACTACTCCGAGAACTGTTGCTCTATAAATTCACAAAAATGTGCATTCACTTTTTATTAGTATTGAAATTATGAATGATCTTCACATCAATCTCCCAAAAAGATCCTTAATTTAAAAAAATGCTAAAAGAAATTATTAATATTTAATTAAATAATGCATCACTACACAGCAACATAGAATTACATTACTCAAAAGAAATGGGAATCATCTCTAGGTTATCATCAGGTGAGTTAGCAGTATTTTGGAAATTCTATGACTTTAACAGAACCTTTAAGAAAATTATGTAAAAATGCAAACTGTCCTGGTAGCTGAACTTAGCGATTTGCCAGCTGCTCACAGTTTATTTTCAGTCTTTTAGAAAAACAGTAGCTGATTCAAATCATCCATCTTGTCAGATGGTACATTGTCATATCCTTGGTTTATGGATCTCACATGCACACACACTCTATTAGAAAAATTTCTGAGTATGATTAGCAAACAAATAAAATCTGTTAAAGAAAAGAAGAAAAAAACCATGCTTCCTAGACAGATAAACTACTTTTCTTGATAAAACACAATAATCCTTTTACTTGAATTTGAGATGTTCATGAAAGGTGATAGAAATTGTGAGGATTAACTCCAAAATAAAAATTTTGATTCTGGAGTTGCAAAGATTAAAACTTTTCCTAGGAATAAATCTACTGAAGAGTCATATTTCAGATCAGACACACCATATCTTAGGCTATCCCCCCCCCCATCACAATTCTCAGCAAGGTCAGTATTAGGCTATCCTTGTTAGTCCAGGCTATCAGCCCATATGTCTAAAAAGACTGGGAGTTGCCTTATTGCACATTGTCATCTGGAACACCATATAGCAAACTTTTGTGAGTATAATTTCATGTAATTCAAGAAATATGTTTAAAAGTAAATATAAAATAAAAATCTTCTATACTTCTGCCATCAATACTGATGAAGTTCCTACATGGTTAAATTCAGCTGTTCTCAGGGCATTTCTTTTTCAGATGAAAAGAGTAAAATTCCTAACTGTTCTGTACCACAATAAACTATCATGGAGATTTATGGCAATTATAATTGTAAGAAAGCTGTCTGTTGGCAATACCACAATTATGAAAAAATACTTTGTGAGGGTCTGGTACTTTAGGGGAGAAAAAAGTGTACCTAACCTGACAGTCACCAGTCTTATCTTCCAATTTTTCTCGAGAGAGAGACTCATGGATATCTTCAGAACACAAGCTACTCCAACTCAGGCATACACTTCCCATACTATAAAGCCTCTCTACAGGCAAGGATTTAATTTGGATTAGTAAAGACACTGCCTTCTAGGCTTTGAGTTTCACAAAATATTCTCATGTCACTTTTGGTCATTTGCACTGGAGTTTAAATCTACATCGGATATCCACTAGCAGCATAATGCAGAACCCACTGTGTTTCCATCTTTTGGAAAGCAAGTCTGTCTTGTTGCACACATAAATAAATCTCTGTAATACTTATTGATGCAACTGATGCTCAAATTTAGATCTATGATCATTTATTTAGATCCATTAATTTAGATCCATGATCATTTGAACGATCTTTGACGCTTTATGGAATTGCTACAGGTACAGGTACAATCGCTGCAGAACCCTCACTAACACTATCATTTTGTTCAGCGTACTAAAAAACCAGATGCTTTCTTTTTTTAGTATTTAACACTGTTTATGTTGCTTCTAATCTTTTATGCATTTTATTTTCTTACTCCAAACTGTATACAATGAAAGAAGAAACAAGGTTTCTTTGCACCTCTTTAGTTTTGGGAAACTAGAACTGTTTTCCACAAAAGGAAGTGTTCTAAATTAAGAACTAGGTTCTTATCCCATGTACTCGCATTAAGCGGCACCTCATTCCTAAGGAGCCATTGATTTCATTTAGATTATTCCTCAGGATGCAGATCAGGATACCGCTGGAACGTTAAGTGCCTGTTTAAAGTCTGCCCTACACAGAGGAGCATGCAAATTGATTCAGACCCAACAAACAAAAGAGATACTGTTCTGAACTAGAAACATAGTAATAGCGTTTCATTCCCTAACAGTGCAGAAGTGATTAAGTAAAACCTTCTAATCAAATTATTTGAAGATTATTTATTAAAACAGATTAAAAAGAGCTTTTACTGTAGCTACTTGTCTGTAAAATTTAACAATGCTATTGTTCCTCAGTTACAAATTTTACTTTTATTCTTTAGAGTTTATTCTATGAGGTATTCAATGTCAGTTGCTAATGAAAACACTTACTCTTGCTCTGTAGAATGCATGTAAAAGAAAAATAGACGTGGTCAGTCATCTAGAATGACAGAAAGAATAAAACAAAATCAACCAAGCAAAGTAAAAGAGAAGAAAAACAAACAAACAAAAAAGAAACCTAATAAATCAGGAATAAAAATGAATTAAAAATGCAAAAAAAGGAAGCCTTGTCTGATCATGCTATATAGTCAAAGCACATGATTCCAGATGATTTAAATGACCTGTGACAAAAGGACAGTTAACTGTCTGTGAAATGCCAATCATCCTTAGTTGGAATGAATCTACTGATTCAAGACCTAGTCTTAATCCCAGAGGAAATCAGGGTAAAGTGCTCAAAAGTCACTAGCCTAACAATGACACTTCCAAGAGAAAAGAAACTCCTCATCACCACACTAATATCAATCAGTTAATGCATTATGCACTCAATATGCAAATAAGATAGGGGGAGTGTAATTGCTGAAGCAAATCATCCACTGTTTTCTACAGTGCTGTTGCAAAACTAAAGAGGGCAAAACTGCAAGAGAAAGCCTTGCTGTGAAATGGAAAAAAAATTAAACATGCATTTCATGAAGACATTTAAATAACAAGTTCAGCAGAAGTAACAGATATTACAACACAATAATGAAAGTCATATTTTTGAGTGATAAAACCTTTTAATAAATAATGCCAGAATGGGGTTGGTGGAGTAACGGTGCCACAGTGTGTGTTGCTAATTGAACAACTATAGCCTGAGCTTGAACTCATAATTTCTTTCTATCTGGGCTGCTAGATGTCCTGTATGTTGAGGAACAGTACAGTCTGATTGATAAAAAGAGCACGTATATTCCATAGAAAGCACACAGACCTGTATTAGTAAATTGTATTTGTACAGCATGAAACTGTCAAAAGCTAACGTCAGATTTGTCATGTAAATAAACCCAGCCTGTATGGAGACAGTGTAGGCAGTGCGCTAGGCAGTGTGTTCCTCTTGTTTCAGAGAAAAACTCAGAACCATTCACCTTGAGATGTTCGTGACAGTGAGATGGATTCTCCTATACATTTTCCATTAATCTTCCACACTGTTAGCACTGCTAACTTTCTACCAATTTATTTCTGGTTTCTGCTTTGTATCTTTTTATTATACTTGTATTTAGAGATACAGGGATATGGCAACAGCAGCAATTAATTAATAAAACAGACAGACAATAGCAGTCACATAACATTTGCATAAACAGATATTACACTACTATGCCTTGTAAGATTTAACATTAAATCCCATGATAATTTTATTTAGCTCAAAGGGAGAGCAGAATGTTTATGATAGTTTCCCATAAATCTTAACAATATCTCTATAGAATATAATTACAGTATCTATAAAAGTGTCTATAGAAATTAATAGTAAATGGTTTCTATTTTTTTAGCTATCTTCTAGAATTAAATAAAAACTTAGCATTACAATAGTTCTAAAACCTACAATATAATTCTATATAACATTTTACAGATCTTCCAAATGATTGTCTACAAAGCTAAGTTTCTTATCCACAAACTTCAATATGATGCTTAAATAAGAAATCTGATATATCATGTAAAAACAGTAATACATAAATGACACTATTACACTGTTCCAGCTGAAGTCCATATTTATTAACAGGATGTGCTGGTAAAACTAGTGACCCTCGCAGCATGGACTGGCAGTGTGCATGAAGTCTGGTGTTGTGCTACCATATGAAACAACCAAAGCAACAGAGGATAGCAGATAATTCCTCTACCAGCAAAGCCCCGCCATAACAGTTTCCCATCAACTGTCTTATCGACTCCACAGACAGTACTCGGGCATATGTAAGTACATTGAGGTATCTGTATTCACTGCAAAAATCACTGCTTGTGTCATTCCTATCGCATTCAGTGGCTCCAATATTCAAGGGTGAGTGCAGAGAAACAATACTGTAGTCATGCATATAACTTATTCATTATCTTATTGCTGCTTCTTAGATGAGTATTGCTAAGATTTACTCGTAAAAGATGATATATTGAAATACACTTAGTGTTAACAGTATAAAATGAAATATCAAACTGTGGGAGTACATGCATACATATGTGTGTGCATGCACGCACATACACACAAACACACAGCGTATTTTTGCTTTGTATAAAGTACATCTTAAAGAAAAAAATAAAAACTACTTACACCAGAATAGAAAGGCTCACCAGACACACAGATCACATCCTGCTCCTGGATCATCAAAATATCTTTGGCTAAGTGCAGTCGCACTTTGAAAGGCTCCTGGTTACCATCCTGCAGCAAACAAATCCCTGTCTTTGTCTTCAAAGGAAGAAATAAAGAAAAAAAGTTTTCTCAGTTAGCACTTTGCATTGCCAGAAGCAGTATTTTGAAACAGAATAGCTGAGAGATAGGTACAGTTCCCATAAATACGTCGACAAATATCCAAAGCTATTACCAGTGATGACTGTATTTATTTATTGTGCTCAGACTACAAGAGAAGGATGGTTACAGTAGCAACTAGCAAAGGCAGATTTTGCAATACTAAGGCACTATTCTGCCCATGATGAATTTGTGAAACTCCTTTCAAATTGCTTCAGAGCAGCTGTGCTCTTACTTTCCATCTTTGTATTAAATGATGACACCTCACTTGGACATGAAATAAAAGCCGATGTTCCACATATTACACCAATTTTGACACGGAAATAGATACACTAACACCTCCAAACTAGCCAGATGTGAGCACTGACAGCCTACATGAACGTGTTGTGGGCTTTTCCTGATCTGTGAGCACAACACTGACATGCCTTTACGTTCCTTTTCAAATGAGGATGCTGAAATTAAGAATAAGAGAAAAGAGATCAAAGAATGCAACTCCTTCTAGTAACTTACTTCTTGCTGCACTTCTGTATTTTATGTTTATGGTTAGAGATCAGGAATTCTGTAGGATTCTTCAATATACAATAAGTGCCTTTCCAACAATTTAACAGTGTCTTTGAGGTAGTACCTATTTGTGCTACTTTTTTGGGCATTATACACAAGAGGTTTGAGCAGTGAAAAATCTGCACGTGTAATCACCTGCAGTATTTAATATTTTTTCCCTGAAGGCTGTGTTGAAAATAGAATTCTTTATAACACCTCATAAATGGACAAAAGTCATGTTGGTAGAGCATTTTTGGTATGAGAAATCTGTTTACAAACAATCTAAAAATTTATCCTTACACCATGTTATTTACCAGAATTAGATACCTATGCCTATTTGCATAGATACAGCTATATATGTCTGCATGTATGTATCTCAGAAGAAAATTCATATATAAAAAGTATTTAAAATCTTGGACTCATCAGTGTCAATAATAAAACTTCCATTGTCTTCATTCAGGTCAGATTTCAATCCACTGTCTGTAAAAAGTTGTCTTGAGAGGAGATCAAGGAAACAAAAGTCTTGCTGTGAACTTTAACTGCCAAAGTTGACCTGGCTGTATCTAAGGGCTCTTTCTCAGACAAGAGTTTAAAAGAGGATTTGGAAGATCTCCCCATAATGTGCTCTGATACCTTACATCCATAGCATGGAGAGAACAAACACAAATATGGAACTGACAGTAGGCAACTGGCAGAAGAAAAGTTTAAATTGCTCTCAAGAGGCTTTAAAAGAGGTGGAAAGGTCGAGGACAACCTTTAAATAGCTCTATATAATGTTCTCCACTGACAAACTGTTCTGTCACTTCTGCTTCATGCTCAACACTCAAACTTAGGAAATTGTTTTCCCTTGGACACCAGTAGCAAATGTGTATATCTCAGCCATAACTTTGAAAGTGGCTCTGATGTTGGTTTTGTTCTTTTTAAACTAAGTAAGAAGAAGAAAAAATGAAGGGTTCCACGCACTGAACTCACACTGAGGTCAGTGGAAGTTCTGGTCAGAAGACATCATACAGCCTTGTTCTAATATTTAAGTGTCTTTTTTTTAAACAGGATGAGATAGAAACTGATTGACGTGGACAGACAAATCAAATAAATGGATCACGGAAGGAATTAGCTTTTCACTACAACTGAAAAATTCCCTCTTATATCATTCATTAAAATAAAAAGAATGTAAAATAGAGAAATTCCCCTGGTCCTCTCCTCCTGGTCCTCTCCTTATAACTTCTGCTTTACAGACTAAGACAACTCCTCTTTCCATGGAGTTGTGAAGTAAGCAGTAAGTGGCAATGGAAGTTGAACAAAGCGGGCCGTAAATAACTATGGTCAAATAAAAGGGGTTAGCCTACGAGCATCTACCACTTATAAAATGCCTTTCTGCTGCATAAAAATTTGCAGACGTGCCTTTCCTCCTCCCTGAATAACTGGCAATGGAATAAATTCTGCCTCTGATATACTGATTATAGTAACTCTGCCTTACTTGACTGCACATTTCTGATTTGGTCAATAACCCTATAAAATCTCCAAAGAGTCTTTCTGCAAAAGCTGAGGGGCTTCTTTCCGGGAATTAGAGGCACATAACCATAGCAGACACAATTAGCTATTAGAATAAAATTAAAATTCAAGTCGGTTTCTAAATGCATGTGGGCTGAGCTTATTCAGTCTGAACAAGGAAACCAAGCTTGGGAACAGCAAAATATTTTGGCCCTTGGAAAGATTGATCATACACACTCAGTGATCTTATTTATATCAGACACTCTAAAATGTAACGAACCACTTTACTGTTGTGGGGCTTTATGAAAGCTGGTTTATGATACAGTTCAAAAGTAAATCTTCAATTATACTACCTCCTTCCCTTTCCTACCTGAGAGCAGCATTAACAACCATGTAAAGGAGCAGAACGTAGTTCAGTTTCATTAGATAAGCTCAAGAGAAGTCCTTGACAACAAAGACTGGAATTTAATTATTTCATTATGTTTCATTTTTGTCTGCTGAAATTTCTTTTTTCTTCTCTCCGCAGCCCCCTTCAAAACATGCAGTAAACTGAGTCAAATAAAGATATGAGCTCCTGCATCCTTATCCAGAGCTGGAACTCAGGGACGACATCCTGCATATATGTTTTCATGTAAATTACAGTGCACATTAACATTTTTCATCCATGTGGCCCCAGTAAAATTATTCTGGTTGGAGGGAGATCATCTGTCTAGCCTATACCCCTGCCATCTCTTACATTTGAAGAGCTTAGATGGTGTGCATGTGCGTGTGTGCAGATGAGGTGTGGGGGTGCGGGGTTGTGGCTGATGTTAGCTTTTGTTCCCATTACTAATTTTTAAGACATTCCATGAGAGGGTGTGCTAAAATTTTCCCTTCAAGCCTTCTACATTTCACTGGCAGTGGGCTCTGCTCTACCCCTGACTTACAGCAATAAAACAGCATACGGCACGTCAGCCGAGCTACTGTAAGTGTCAGTGTGAGGTCATGCAAGGCATCCTCTTGTGCTCAAATGTATGATAAACTGCATCACCTTACAGCAGACATGGATAGCGAAGCATAGTTCAGCTGATAAGTTTGTTAAGCCAATACACCTTGACGGTATGTTTGAGCCAAAATCGCCAGGAACATTGCCCTGCTTAGATTTATAGCATCCTACTTTCTTCATCCTATTTATGGAGTTTGGCACCTGTTGTAAAGAGGACAAGAAAACTGAGTGTTTGAAGTTGCACGTGTTTATGAAGTGGATGAGGTAGGCTAAGGAATGGATATGGAAGCAATATACAGTGATGAAAAAATGAGTTTCCGTATGGGAGAGAAGTCAGTGGCTTCAAGCAAAAGCAGTGATGAAGGAAGGTGACTGTACCTAAGTGACAGACACAGTAAATGTTACACCTGCACAGTACTGCCTCTGTCATCTCAGTCTACACCCTTTTAAGCTGAGTTAGACAGGAACACTGATGCGGCAAGAGCTGATGTCCTTGGCAGGAGTTTAGAAACTGCTTACTGTCCCTGAACTAATATAACTACAAGAGGGGCTGAAAACTCATCCCTCTTTGCTTTGCCACACCAGCCTGTGTTGAACTTTCTGCTTCAGATGACTATCAGAGAACAGAATAGGTTGGCAGAGCCCCCAGGGCAGACTGCTTTTACAAAGAATATTGTCACACTGAGATCATTATTAGCAACAAGGCGGTGAAAAAAGGCCTTTTAAAAATCTTTCTCCATTATACCCTGACTTACAGCACATTGTCCATATTGGCTGTGTATGAGATTGGGCCCTAATAACTTTCCTAAAAGGAATTTAGAAATGCTTACATTCCATAAACAGCTTGGTGCAATATATATGGCCTTCACAAACATTTAAGAATTAATTTCAGAGGAAATACACACGAAAACTACAGTTTATACATTTATGCTAGCAACAGAGTCTCTACCAAACATATACCAAAATTAATACTGTATGAGAAACATCTTAAAAGTTGCCTATTGATTTCAAAATCAATTTCCTGCAGGACTTCCAACATAAATATTTTTTTTAATTTATCTGTCCTAAATGAGGCTACTGACAGGTTTTCTGTTGAAGAATTTTTTTGTTTACATTTTTCCCTATTTGTTTTTTTCCTTCTCATTTATGTTAAGAAAAAAAAAAAATGCTAAAACTTTTTCTATGTTTTGTTCTGGAGGACACTTATTCAGTATTTCAGGCAATTTTAAATACTCTTAATTAGTTTTCAAGGCATGACTATATATTTTTGGTTATTCTATTTTATTTATTTCTTTTGCCTTATGGTAATAAAACGATTTGGTTAGCTTTGCTTCTTCTAGTTTCACATCAATAGGAAGACTTCAACAGATATCCCAGAATAGTTTAGTCTATGAACCAGTGGAAGAAAGGAAGAGAAAAAAATCTCTCAACACATTTTCTATGCAAGGTGGCCTGGATTTTTAGTTTTTGCTTTGGCTGGTATGTCTTCAAATGAATTAAACCTCTGTTTAATTTAGTTTTAAGCCCTGAAATTTATTTCTACTATCAAGAATCCGATACCAGTAAGGAGAATGGGTTGCAGAAACTGCCTTAAATTTGTAGGTAGTTCACTTCAGATTAATATCTACACTTTTGGATGGTTATTTGAATTGAGGCTGACCTCTGAGTATTTGGAGATATGCCTGTCACTGCTTCATAACCACAAGTATAATAATAAAAAGGGAAATTGAATCAGAGGTATAAGGCGATAATGGCAATGAATACAAGAGGTAGGAATATGTGTCAGAACCACATAAAAGATGTTTTCTAAATGGTCCAGCTACTCATTCTGTGGAGGTGTTGCTAGCGTAAGTGAAAAGCGCTTATATTGTCAAAAATTGGAATGCAGCCCAGATACACAGGGATGTGTTCAGCTTGTCATTCA